CTATATTACACCACACTACACTACCCCACACTATACTATGACTATATGTTGGTAGGAAATAAGTTCAGGGCCTCCCAAATTGGAATCCTGTGTAAAAATATGACTGTGTTCTACAGTGGCAATGATGGGGCATTTTTAAATAGGTAATAGACTGAGCCAGAGTCTCAGCACAATGGAAATGTGGCCAGTCTATTACCTATTAATGGAAACCATTTCAGAGTATCATCAACCTAGAATTGAGGTTTGGAAACAAAATCTATTACTATATTTAATAACTATTCGCTTAATTCTAATCATTCAAGGTTTTTGATTATTATAAAACAGAGATGAAGGTTTGAGCTAACACACAGGCGTGGACTGTCAAATCAGACTCATGTGAAACAGTGTTCTTATCTAGCATTAATTAAGCTCTACTAAATGTTACAAAGATAGAGATGATCAGATAATTCAAGTGAAGCAGAGAGAGGTCTGGGACATCAAGGGCCCCTGGCAGCCCAGGTCTTTCTTTCCTTGCTGTGTGCCTACATGACCTTCTCCCAGGAACTGTGCCTTATAGATACTGGGTTCTCTTTACTATAGGTAATCCTTACCCAAGGACACCCTGCTAAGGTCATTTTAAAGTTTCTTCTTCCTAACACACATCAGTACTCTATTTATCCTAAGTCCTGTTGACAAGGAGATTAGATTGGGCCACATGCCTTGTTTTTCTCCCCTTCTGTCCCCCAAAGAAGTGAATGGATTGCCAGGCCAGCTGCTTTCACCCCTTCCTCCTAGGGTTACTTAAGAACCTGGTGACAGAACTTAGCTTATTGTTAATTCCCCCATTGCCTAGTTCTCTTGCATTAGTACTAAATCAAATCGTTTCAACAAAACAATTGCATCACAGAATCTCAGAATAAGAATAGAAGCTTTAAGACTATTTAATGCAAGCTCCTACCTAAAACTTCTGCTTATTGTACCTACTTTTATATCTATCCAATTAAAGCTATCTTACAGTAGAATTGCCACTCCAAAAGGCCTTTCTATTGTTATAATCTTCCAATCACTGAGGATGCCTTTCTTCTATAAAAGAGAAGTCTCCCTTACCTCTCTTTACCACCGCATTGGTCCTAGTCCCAACATTTTAATTAATCTAGAGTAAGTCTACTCCCCCTTCCACTCAGTAGTCCTTTCACATTTCCAGGAACATTTCAAAGCCATCATGTCCTAGTTCTTAGCTTTTCTAGGCTGACATCTCTAGGTCCTTCAGCTGTTTGTTATAAAACAATAGCTACATAATCTAGTATCTCCTCTCTATGGTTAACTGGCAGCTCTCTTACAGAAGTTTAGGGACTTCAGATGATGATGGTCCTGGATGTGGTCTGACCAGGCAAGCTATGTGTGAATTGGATATCATGGCTCCCATAACAGAATCTAAATTTGAAACAGCTTTCTGTTTTAGCAGATGTGATATACTATTGGCATAACTGAGATGCAGTCATCTACCACCTCCAGGTCATTCTTTATTCTTATGCTTCATTGAACCTAAATGCAAAACTTAACATTTATCACTATTAAGTTCCACCCATTTGTTTCAGTTTACAGTGCCAATATGAAGACTTTTTAAAAATGTAATACATTGTCCAATATGTTATTAGTTTTCCTACCTTTGTTTCAGTTATCTGATAAGCTTGCTTTAACTTTTTTATTATGGTAAAGTATATATGACATAAGATTTATCCTTTTGACAGCTTTTAAGCGTACAATTCAGTGGCATTAAGTGCATTCATTTTGTTAAACAACCACCATCACCATCCATCTCCAGAACTTTCCATATTCCCAAATGGAAACTCAGTACCATTAAACAATAATTCCCCATTATCCCTTCCGCCCTGTCCCTGGCAACAACTATTCTATTTCCTGTCTTTATGAATTTGATTATTCTAGTTACCTGATATAAAAAGATTCATATGATATGCTTGTTTTTAAAAATCTATTTAAGAACAAAATATTGACTTGGGTGGACATGACGATCTTCTTAGCTAACATCTATCTTATTGCACACCAAATCTAATCTACAACCTATTTTCTTTCCTGGCATTGAAAGGAAAATAGGATTCAAAAAGCAAACAAGATTAGAGGAAAAAAAGCGAAACAGCTTTGCTAAGGTAATTCCACCACACATATCCGAGAAGACACCCTGTGCCCCTAGAGGAACACGAAACAGTAACCACAGGACAAGGAAGGTAGGTAGAGCCAGACTGGAACTCCTCCTACACCAACAATGAGGAAGGCCTTACAGGAGTTTGTTACATTTGGAAATTATGGGAATGGTCACATCAGATATTTTATATCAAAAAATAAATTTTTAAAAATTTAAATTTTAATTACAAAACAAAAAACCACACATACATGTATGTATGTATGTGTATATAAACACATAACATATATTTTGTTGTAAATATATAACACATATATATATATTTGACACTGACCACTTAACAGTTTTGCCATGCTAATCCCTCCATTAGTAGTAAGAGTTACAAACTAACTGTACATTTGTGCTTTTATATAGACTTCTGTAAGTGAGCTATAGAAATACTAACAAAATAATTAATTATCAACAATTCTGCCAGTGTTTTGCTCATTACTGTATAAGAAAGTTGAAAATCTTTTGTTTCAGGAAGAAAAGGATTGCTTGTTGAGTTTTTAAAATATTTTTCAGTAATTAATATTTAACATGTTTTATTAAATGTAAAATTAGTGGTAATTAGAAATCATACAGACCTGAATATCAAATCTTGCTTTAGTAAGCTATATTAGGTGGCTATTTTTAAATCTACCTAGTTAATTTTTGAAATTTTGTTATCTTCTGAGATATTGCTATAACAGTTAATATAGTTACCTAAAATTTATTTTTAAGGCTATCTGAATGGAAGAAAAGGAGGAAATACAGTAGTTGTATGTAACTGCAAATAGTCAATGCTATTAAAATCTTTTTAAAACAAGAGAGTTTTTTTAATACTGTTAATAATTAAAATGTCAGCAAGTCATGGCATTTGTTTTATGGCATTTCTATGGAGAGTTTCCTTTAAACTAAACATAAGGCCAATATTTTTCTAATTCTTGTCTCCTGTTAATTACAACTTTGCTGAATCTAAAATGACAAATCTTTCATTTTTAATACTGCTTCATACATGTCTGCTCGTAAAATGTTTTTAAAATATAGATATTGGGGTAAAGCATTAAACAAGAAACAGAAATCTCACCTTTAAGGCATCACAGTGCTCCTAATAACCCTAAACAAATGCACTAAGAACCATTTGAACCAAGTTTTTTCCTAACTTGCAGCAGAATGATTTAATGCTCAGATTCAAGGGTGGTGTAATAATACAGCGGACTTGGAAATGGAAGCATATTGAGTGACTTTCAAGTTTAAATGTTTTCCAAATATATTCTAACTCATTATCTAAAGGCATGGTTCAATTGGAGATAGAACATGATTCACAAGGAATACACACACAAAAAAACGAAAGCTACCAAAGCAGTCAGAAAGGATGTACAAAGGATGGTAGTTTGTCCTTAAAACTTGGAGATTAAAGCATAAATGTGTTCATTTCTCCTAGAATAAGAGATCAGCTTGTCATGCTTTCCTTGATAATTAGTATCCTGCTCCAGGGGTGAAAGGTGAATATCAGGGAAAAAATGCTGTAGGATTTGTACCTCTCTCTATAGACAGAAGAAAATTCCTTAAGCTCTAAATTACTCTGCCAGAGAATTTTAAAACTTCAATAAATATAGAGAGATACAAAAATAGCAATCAAGACATTATATAACCTATAATACCTTAAACTCCAAAGAATCTTACTTTGCAACTATTTCTTCAGTAGGGATACATTTTGAACCTACAGAGAACTTGCTTCTATTTGTCACTTTAAGTTTTACTTTGTTCTAATAACAAAATCATTTAAGAAAAAAAAAGCTTCCTGCAAATAGCTTAAACGGTTACATAAGTATTAAGTCAAAGCGCTTTCCAAATACAAGTTCTCATTATTACATAAGTGATAAGAATTTCATGACCATTTGCCCCTAAAAATTATAATTATTATTATTTTTGTTAGACTTACATAGAATAACAAAATGCACAAAGTGACCTGGGAATTCACTGCATGGAAAAAAAAACCTTCTTATAGTCAATGAGTAACTACCGTTAAGATTGGTAAATAACATGGGATCTTTAGAGCATCTATTAACATTCATCATTTCACCTAATTCTTCCTGTTTAGTTTCCCTATGAATAGATTCACCTTAAAAGATAAATTTTAGACTATAACAATGGAACATATAATGACATATCAAAAATGCAACCATCTTTAGGAAAAAAATTGCAGTTGCAATATCTATGTTGAGCTTGTTGTTTTATCTATGTTGAAAAATAACTGATTCTAGAGAAACCTAACAAACATGTAAGGAACATAAAGTTGCTACTTTATAAATGTATATGTAGAAAATTTTTTAGATATACAATTTAATATGTTTTATTGCCTGAGATCTGTTAGAGGAATCCTCTAATAACCTTGGTCTTAGAATTCTGATAAAGTCCCCACTGCTCCAACCTACTTAAATGTAATTATGGATATACATGTAATTGCACATGGAATTAAGCAGAAAAGAAATATTTTCACTGGCTCATCTCCCTGGCAATTAAATTGTAAATGCATCTAGAAAGAGACAAATATCTATAGCTACACAACCCTGAAGGTTTTAAATTAAAATTCAAGGAATTAGAGTCATCTGCCTGTCTCAAAATCTATGAATACAGACAGATACACCAACACAGACACACATAAAGTTATTATTTTAGTTAATACACAAGATAGCATATCACAAAAGCAATCCCTGAATGCATCTGGAGAGGGTCATTAAAAACTAAGAATTGTATGTTTAGATTTGTGTTCACCCATACATCACAATTCCCAATCTTGTCTGCTAGTTAGGCTACAGAAAATCCTGAAACTTACCAGTATAAAGTAGTATGCATACAGGGCTGCACAATGATGTATTATAAAAAATTTGTCACCAATCACTTTCCAATACAAAATTATAATGGACAAATCTGTAAGAAAAAAAAAGTGAGTAAGGTATTACATAAGAAAGTTGCACTGTTTTTCAAGTATATTGAACTCTTTCTCCTGCCAACTCATCACGGTCCACTCTGAGCCCAGAGCACTTTGTTCATGCCTCAGTCAGTCTAATATCTACTTTGCCATAAAATTTCAGCTCCTATATGCCTGTCTCACCCACTCTCTTGTGGCTCCTCCAGAACAAGAACTAGGTTATGAGCATCTTTATACTCTCAGAATCTAGCACAAGGCCTGGCATATAGGTTGGTGCAAAAGTAATTACGATTTTTGCCATTATTTTTAATGACAAAAACTGCAATTACTTTGTACCAACTTAATTATATGTAATACAATATTCGTTAAAAACATAAATGAATAACTTGCTTCCAGAGTAAAAATAAACAAAAAATAGTATTGAATAGAAATAATTTTAAATAAGCTTAAATGACTGATTTTTGTCACTACAATAATTCAAACAGAGATAAGATGGTCATAGGGAAGGTACAAAATGATAAACTCATTTATAAAACAAATTCTACAAAAAAATACTTTAAAAATAAAAAAGAATGCAACTAAATATTAATTGAAAATAGTGATGCCACCAAGAACTATAACTACTAAAAAGAAAAACAAAGAAAAAGGTTCTGAAGTTAAACACTATTACTCAGAAAGTAATTTGTTTCCTTTAATAAAATAGAAATTGTTCCATAAGGCAGAACATGGTGGCTCACACCTGTAACCCCAGCGCTTTGGGAAGATGAGGTGGGTGGATCACTTGAGGTCAGGAATTCAAGACCAGCCTGGCTAACATGGTAAAACCCTGTCTCTACTTAAAAAAAAAGTACAAAAATTAGGTGGGTGTGGTGGCACGTGCCTGTAATCCCAGTACTCTGGAGGCTGAGGCAGGAGAATTGCTTGAACCCGAGAGGCAAAGATTGCAGTGAGCTGAGATTGCGCCACTGCACTCCAGCCTGGGCGCCAGAGCTAGACTCCATCTCAAAAAAAAAAAAAAAGAAAAGAAATTCCTCAATGTTAACAAAACTATTTTTTTTTTTAACCAAATAGTTAAACATAAAATGTAGACATGGAAACAAATAGCTATCATGAATGGATATCAGGAGAGGATTCAGGTTTTGTGGGGTCAGAGCTTATATGAGGACCTTCTCATTACTAATACAAGCCTAGACATGAATATTTAGAAAGAGAAATCATCAAGATTTTCTTTTAGAAAGAAAAAAGAAAACCTGCAAATGTGATTTTAGAAGTAAGAAAACCTGCAAATGTGAAAAATCAAGAAAAGTAATATAACATTATTAGTAATTAACTGCCTGATACATCCTCTCTAAATATATTTATGTACATATTTTGGCTGTATATATTTTGGTCACCAATTTATAAGATAATGATTTTGTAATATGTTCTACACAAAGAATTTTTAAAATTTTCATTCAGCTTCATTTAGAAAAGTTTGTTTCAGTGCAGAACTCTTATTTCTAAGTTTTTGGGGATTATTATCTTATCTGAGAAACCTTAAGTTTCTTTCAGACAAGATTTTCTGGGGACTAACTGGGGACTATCAATTCTCTGAATTGATAATACTTATTAACCAGTGTATGTGACATATTATGAGTATTGTGTTGTCCTTGGCAATGACAGCGTTTTGTATCAAATGAGCAAATCTTTTCCCAATGTGTTCACATGATTCACTCTCCTTTTAATTGGTCTAACAAATAACCCAACAGCCTTTTCCTTATTTGATTTATTCATTTACTCACTTACATATTTATTTAGAGACAGCTCTCATTCTGTTGCCTAGGCTGGAATGCAGTGACACAGTCTCAGCTCACTGCAGCCTCTACAGCCTGAGCTCAAGCAATCCTCCCACCTCAGCCTCATGAGTACCTGAGGCTACAGGCATGCATCACTACACTTGGCTAATTTTTTAACCAATTACTGTGTTTTAGTATAATTTAATTTTTTGTTATAATTCATTGCTTGATGGCAGGCAATTAACATGTTTAAAAATTATAAAATAGGGTTCCCTATAAAAATGTCCAAATCAGGGATCTGCTATTTCTCATGTTTTACTGAAACAATCCAAAATGTCTTTTCAAATTCCACTTAAAATAACATATTCTTAACTTCTCCTTTACCTCGTTGTTAAAAAAAAAAAAAAAAAAAAAGGCAACTCCAACCCCATCCAACATGAGGTAAAATAAGAGGGGAATGTGGAGTAGAAAAAGTCCATCCCCTTAACTGACTACAGCTGAAACAGCTTACTTTTGCAAATGTTACCAAAACACAAAACCATGACTACTGGAACACATTTCAAGAACTCTTGCAAGCGAGGGATCCTAAAAGATAAACTTTGTTAGCCTCACAGTCACTGCACTTGAAAGCCTTGTTAAGACAAAAGGGGACCATGTCCTTGCTGATAAAAAATGTCCAGGCCTCAGTTGTTTGAGGCCTCACTCTGTAACTCTGATCTTAATTGAGAACCAGAAAGCCATTTCATGAAAAGACATTTCATGTTCTACCATCAAGGCAAGTACTTTTTCCTCTGCTTGTGTCCTAAAAGCTATGTCTCAAATAAACCAAAAGCACAGACTCTGTATTCTTTGTATAATTCTGTGAGTAGCTTAAAAAGAATTAGGCAATAAAACAACAACTCACATACCAGAAATGAGGTAGCCTGAAGCAACAGCAATATTTGCGTTTGCAAGTGATGGACCACCCCTGGAAAAAAAAAAAAAAAAAAGGTTCCTTTATTAAGTATATAGGTTATAGATAACTGATACTTCTTTTTTCTATAGAGATTTAAATATAATGAAATTGCTTTCTATAGATTCTCGAATGGTAAGCTGACATTTTCAAAAAACATTGGAAAACACACAATGACAGTTTAACCGAACCGTGACGCATCCTGTGCTACTGGTGTTAGGAGAAAGATGCTGTTCCCAGGAAATCTAGTAGCCTTTTTGTCCAAGATGAACTGTTTTAATCAAGAGATCTTCTAGAGCCCATGCCTTCCATGAATTTTACTCTGGCACTAAGCTAGTCTCCAAATTTTCCTTGAGGATAAATCTTCAACTCAGAATTCAAACTAGGCTGAAATCTTCTAAAGTATCTAAAGTCAATCCATATTGAGGTCCCCAATATTAGGAACAGACCTCTTGGGGATGACTAATAGTACCCAGTGCATTTTCCAAACTTAAGTTTTTAAAACTATTCCCAGAATCCCTAAATCCAGGGTACAGCATAGCATCTGTTTTGTTTTAAATTGGGAGGTCATCCTTCATACCACCAGTGGCATTTATAATGGATTTAGAGTACACCTAAGGGCCAACTACAGTGGACACTCCAATGTATTAAGTTACCTAAGACATGTCTCCTATCAATTCTGGATCCTATTCTAAACCTGTCAATGCACAAAGTATTGTTTTAACTATGATAATGCTTCTAACCACATGGTTACCATAATTTCTTACAAATATTATCTAAAAGTTTTACTAAAATAATTTTACCAGGCTGGGCACAGTGGCTCACACCTGTTGGGGGGCTGAGGCAGGTGGATCACGAGGTCAAATGATTGAGACCATCCTGGCCAACGTGGTGAAACCCTGTCTCTACTAAAAAATACAAAAATTAGCTCGGCGTGGTGGTGCGTGCCTGTAGTCCCAACTACTCGGGAGCAGGAGAATTGCTTGAATCCGGGAGGCGAAGGTTGCAGTGAGCCAAGATCGCACCACTGCACTCCAGCCTGGCGCCTGGCAACAGAGCAAGACTCTGTCTCATAAATAAATAAATAAATAAATAAATAAAAAGAAAAAAAAGAAAAACAGCATCCCAATGAAAATGTATCAATCCTGATATAATTCTTATGGGAATAATTTTATATTTTTGAATTTAAAAAGTCCTTGCAGTCAAATGATGGTGGTCAAAAGACCAGGCTAAATCACCCTACATCCCCGAGCCCACAACAACCACATCTCAATGCAGTGCTTCTTCAAATATGCCTCCTGTCTCAAACTAAGCTGAACTAAGCCTTCTCATATAACACCAGGAAACAGTTTGCAAAATGTCTGCCATTGGAATGACATTTAAGTTTTTCTAAAAGAACCATCTTACATGTTAACCTATTACTGCTGAACATAGTTATTAGTGCATGTGCTTCAAATCTTGGGGTACTAAATTCCTCTCACACGGCCATCTGTAACTCTCATCTCTTTGATATCAAATGATGAGTCAAACATAAATTGGAGGCAAAAAAGTCTTAAGTAGACATTATCCAAGTTGACTATCCTATCTCAATAATTTATTTTTCTTCAGAACCGTGATTACAATAACTTTGCTTTACTCATTAACACAGTAAAAATGTTTAAATTATCATCATATTCTCCTTGTTTGGGATAACAATTGCTACACTGAGGCAAAATGGCCTTCACTTGTATTCAAATCTAAAATAAATCATTTAAATGCACTTTGCTGAAATGTCTGAACGCAAGCATTTTAATAACGCATACGCCATCGATATATTTTCTGTTTTAAAGTAAGTGATGTTCTTATAAATAATTAATATCAAAACATAAATCAAATTGGCAATCTTAGAAAAAGAAACGGCTTACCAAAGTGGATCAGCTTTAGTAGCCTCATCGAATAAGAAAATGTACAGGCCAAAAATACCAACCACCAAAGAATGGCATGTGGATACTACCCTGAAATGAAACACAAAGATTTTACCTTCTTTGCAATAAAATTTAACTAATTCTGACAAGACATAGAACATTCTGAACAAGTTACACCTTGGAGCATTTATATACCAGAGTGAGTATAACGGAGAGTATAATGCAAAATTGCCATTTAGAAAGCCAAGGGCCACAGCTTTACTTTGGAATAAAGGAGAAAGATAACGAGGCCTACAATCTCCTGCTGGAGAATAGGTGAATCACTTCTTGGTTAAAAGTTCTAAGACAGATGCATACAGGATGATGCAGCTGACAGACTTCTGTGCGGACAGATGGCAACTGGCAAGGCCACTACCCTGTACCCTGCTCCAAGCTCCAGCCCCAACAGCATCAATGCAGGATAAGTTTCCTGCTCCAATCAGCTTCCAATCTACTGACCTTAACAAACTCCGTATCCTTAAAACAATTCAAATGGATCATAATATGAAGATTTATTTCTTGGGAGACTTCAGTTTTTAAAGTACATTGACCTAAACTATTGTACTTGATTCTTGCAACAATTTGTAAGAAAGCGAGGGAATTATTAGTGCCTCTTTATCATTATTATGAAAGCACTTCTAAATAGAGAAATTGAGGACCATGAATTTATACAGAAAATTTGTTTTTAAAAAAAAACACCCAAGTAAAAGCACAACATTCTCAAGATCCAGGTCAAGTTTTCTTTTATAGAAGGAATAAGTTTAACATAAAAACCATCAGTTTCTATGAATATATCTTGTTAATAAATTTAATGACGTGACCAATTCTCAAGCTCTATATTATGTTACTTAAAGAACTATATTCAGGAAACTGTATTTATCCATACAATGAAGTTTTTTACCCAAGAATTTCAGATTTCTCTCATCTTTATAAAGAAGCTCACAGGTAACAAAGCTTCTTTTCTCTTCATTAGGATAAAAGATGAGAGGAACAGCAAAGTTTTCTTTCTAAAAATTACTGGTATGCAATAAATTTTTCTCTACAATATGATCCCAGATCTTTAAAAGTAAGTAAAATATATCAACTAATATTAGGCTTGGTATCAGAAAATTTCATTGTAACTTGAAAAACCAATATACTTGACCTAATAGATGACGTGTTACAAAAATAGACCTATCATGCTAAATCAAGCCATATTTTAAATATGGAAAGATTCTCACTAATTTAAAGGCATTGACCAAGTAACATTTAAATACCTAAGAATCATTTTGAAACGTGAATAATTAATCCAATTTATCTGATTTACAAGTCTGTAATTTTCATGCCAAGCACTCCAGTATTACATTTGAACACAGGATAATAATGTAAATTCCTTGGCCAAATGTGGTGGCTCACGCCTATAATCCCAGCACTTTGGGAGGCCAAAGCAGGCAGGTCATCTGAGGTCAGGAGTTTGAGACCAGCCTAGCCAACAAGGCGAAATTCCGTCTCTACCAAAAATACAAAAATTAGCTGGGTGTGGTGGTACACGCCTGTAATCCCAGCTACTTGGGAGGCTGAGGCACAAGAATTGCTTGAACCTGGGAGGGAGGGGTTTCAGTGAGCAAAGATCACACCATTGTACTTCAGCCAGGGTGACAAGAGTGAGACTCTGTCTCAAAAAAAAAAAAAAAAAAAAAAGTTAAGTTCCTTGATATCAAACAAAACACTCCATCTAAATGATCATACAGCCAGCTCTCTATTGTTATTCAAAAGTTCTATAAAAGAAAAAATATATAACCTCTCTCACTACCTTGTTTTACTGTTTTGTAACCATAGTCAGAAAGCTCCCTTTTAAAAAAAAGACCTAACTTTTAATTTCTGACACTCAGGCCTCAGATTCACTTCTCTTTTGAGAAGCTATGTGGTAAATGAAAAGCATTCTAGGCCCTTAGCTGACAGAAATGGATATTCAGGATAGAAAAGTTAAATGTTACTTAGTCCAGTCAAATACCTCCCTCTACAATGAAGAGGAAAAACAAATACCCTGTTCTCACTCATACACTATCCGTATTAAAAGTCTATACTATATTTTCAGAAACTTCTGTTAAAAAATTTTATATTTTATTATTTAAGATCAGATTCCTAGCAAATGAAATATTAGATTCCTTAGTATCTAAAAAGAAATTCCAAGATACTACCCAAGATAAAATATTTCAATTTTTTTCAAAGAGGTTAGAAATGTTTTTACACATAAAGAGACAACACTCTAAAGAAATGATTAATGACCATTTTAGAAGAGCAATTTTAAGTTACTGATTTAATCAAGAGTAGTGTAAATAATGCCAACAGAAATTATATAGCTCAGTCAAAAAGAGTTCAATTTTAGAGAAAGATTAAAAAATTAGTAGTATTTCAACACAATAAGACTTTTGATGTGATAGGTAACAAACTGGATATAAATAATTAATATTTTTTTATTTTATAAGATCTAACACCTGTAAGTATATACGTTTTCAGAAAAAGTTGCAAGTAAGTACAGAAATTTCTCACTTTTAATCACACTGCTGTCTCTCAAGTGAGCACTTCCAGTAGCTGATTTTCCTCCAGTTCTTTGTGTACTAGATGGCTCAGACCACTCATTGTTCAGAGACTCTTTCCTGATTACTAGAAAGAATTATGTGTGTTTATCTATACTTTTCAAACTGGAGGCTGATTTTTAAGACATTTATACATACTTTACACAAAATATAGCCTCCTTTTCCTACTTTGGACTCCACCTCACAGCTTAAGTCCTATGTAAACAAAGCTGGAGTGAGAAGCAGGAGCAACCTTCAGAGAAAGAGAAAACGCCATTGAATACCTAAATGAATTTTATATAATCCCAGACTCCTTTTTCAAATAGAAACTCAGTTTCCCAAATGGTATTTCCCATATCATAGAATGGCAGTGGTAAATATTTTTTCAATTTCATTTCATTTTCATCTTGGCTTCTATCTCTCCGTACCGTCCCTATTTCTTTGACTTGCAGCTACCTAACATTCAAATACCTTTCCCTGTCCTAACCACAGTAAAAAGGAAGTCAAAATAGTTCAAAATTTAATCAGAGAATTTATGTATCCCCTTCTCCTTGCTACCATTCCATCTATCTTCATATGTTAGGAAATATTTTTTAAAGTAATGGTATCTCTAGTATAACACATTTGAACAATATTTTTGTGCTAGTCTTCAGACAAAATAATCATACTGCTTTTTTTTGAAAATAAGTGAAGAAATAATTTTTGCTTTCTGGCTGAAAAGAACTTTAGCATGTATGAACCTGATATATCATTGTAAAGTGCAAAAGAAAACAGCTAGAGTCTTCTTAAATTCACAGTCTGAGTTATAAAAATAGATGCCTGCAAACCAATTTGGTTCAAAAAAAGGGAATTTCAAGTCAAATATGACCATTCTCAAATAAATATTCAGACATTAACAATTTCTTGAATTGTAAAAGGAAATTTCAATGAAAGATAATTATAGCAAACTTTAGAGACTTGCATTTTATGGTTAGTATTAACTTCAACTAAATAGCAACAAAAAAAATATATGGCCACAGCTCCTCCACCTCACCGAAGTTTACAAATGGGCAGCAATGTTTGGGCACATAAAATGCTCTAAAGCAAGTGAAGCAGTCATCTGAGCCATTTTGTGTTGGAAATCTTGTGAGATTAACGAGTCATACACACACAAAAATATTGCAACCAACTTTTTAAAACTCTGGCAGAGTGTGGTGACTCATGCCTGTAATCCCAGCACTTTGGGAGGGTAAGGCGGGTGGATCACCAGAGGTCAGGAGTTCGAGACCAGCCTGGCCAACATAGTAAAACCCTGTCTCTACTAAAAATACAAAAATCAGCTGAGCATGATGGTGCATGCCTGTTGTCCTAGCAACTCAGAAGGCTGAGGCAGGAGAATCGCTTGAACCCAGGAGGTAGAAGCTGCAGTGAGCCAAGATTGCGCCACTGCACTCTAGCGTGAGCGACAGGGCAAGACTCTGTCTCAAAAAAAACATAAAATAAAAATAAAAACTAAAGCTCCAGCAGATTTCTGTATGAATAGATGTCTAATTCTTTCTCCATTTACTTTTTTGTTTTAAAATAAATCTTAAAAGCAATTTTTACTTTAAAATTATGTAACAAAATAAATGCTGGAAGGCTCTAAATCATAATGCAAAGTTCATGAGAAGATTCATATGTACTGACTGCACACGTTGGTCTCTGGTGTGTAGAGTTTAATTGCCCCAGGCCTGGCTAAGTTGGCCAATGCTATATGGTATAAGTTACTCAAAAGTACAACTAACTTTTTCTTCCATCATCATTTTCAAAGGAGATGTTTGTTACAAATATTCCAAAGAACACAAAAGTGCTAGTACTCATCCACAGTCAGCTGGAGTCTAGTTCATCTTCACACACCTCCCCAGAAACTTAAATACATTTCTCCTAACATCTTTCAATATAAGAATTCTTAAACTAGTTTGTATGAGATCATCTATTTGTTTTTTCTTTTACTCCTAAGATCAAATAAAAATTTGGCCTTACATTTTATTAGATCCTAAATGAAAGACTTTTCAAAATATTTTAAATAATTTTATCCAATAAACTAGTTTCTTTTCATCAATTACATTTTCATATGCTTTACCTTGAGTTCCATTCAATCTTCTTTTCAAAGCTGAGACTATTGAAACCTGGGGAAACTTTTGCTGAAAACCAGTAACTTACAAAGTAGAAGAGAAGCTGAAAGGTGAAAAAGCTTGTACAAATAATGCTGATGAACAATTTCGTGTTGACATCCATATTTCTTCAACCTGTTAAGATAAATGGCAGCTATAAATTGTCATCTCATGATAAACCTAGAATAAATTCTTTTTAAGAAATATGTCTTGTAATTTTAGTAATTTTCAAAATTTGGAACAAATGTTAAGAATACAAAGAAACTATAAGAATTCTTGGCCTTTTGTATATTTCTTCACCTTTACCATCTGTCATGTATCTTATGTTTGTATTCAGAATAAAAGAAAAAAAACTATCTTAAAGATCTCAATATTATAGGTGTCATTTATAATTTTAGCATCATGATAGTCAAAATTATCTGTCTCAGAGTTTAACATAAACAGAGAATTTCAAACAGTGTTAAGTGAAAAGTATTCTTTCAATAATATTTTAACTAAATTTAGGACAAATCACCTGCTTTCTTTTTTATTTTTTTTTTCTTTTTTGAGACAGTGCTTCACAATTGTTGCCCAAGCTGGAGTGCAATGGCGCAATCTCAGCTCATAGCAACCTCCACCTCCCAGGTTCAAGCGATTATCCTGCCTCAGCCTCCCAATTAGCTGGGATTACAGGCATGCACCACCAGCCTCGCTAATTCTGTATTTTTAGTAGAGACACGCTTTCTCCATGTTGGTCAGGCTGGTCTCAAACTCCCAACCTCAAATTCCCACCTCAGCCTCCCAAAGTGCTGGGATTACAGGCATGAGCCACCACACCCAGCCACACCTGACTTTTTTAATCCCTCAATCTCTCATTTATGAAATAAAAGACTTGGTTAGATAATTTCTAAGAAACAAGCCAAAAATCATAGAACATTGCCTGCAATAACAAAATATAATTACATAATTAAAAACAAAACAAAACGAATTTTGCAGCAGGACAAAGAACATTTAAAACAAAATTAAAATCTTAAGAAGAACACAGTCTTAGAAAAGGGTCATACCACTGTTGAGGCAAGAGAATGGAGTCTTGAAGCAGGGAACCTAAAGCCAATTCATGCTGACTTCCTAAAACTAAATCAAAGGGAAAACCCCAACTTTCCACACCTAAGTAATAAAAGAATTGGAAGTTACTCCCTTTGCAAACCCCTCGCACTTTGCTGAGTGGCAAATGAAAAATTGAAAGTACCTATGATTGGCTGCTTTTCTCAACCAATCAAATGTTTACATAGGAATGTAAGTTTATAACTTCATTTCAGCCTCTAATTGATTGCTTTCTCCAATCAATCTGACCAACTGCCAGCTAAGCCTTTGTTTGCGTACAAGTGTAGCTTTTTTTTTTTCCAAGATAGAGTCTTGCTCTGTCGCCCAGGCTGGAGCTCACTGCAACATTCCACGTTCAAGCAGTTCTCCTGCCTCAGCCTCCCAAGCAACTGGGATTACAGACACGTGCCACCAGGCGGCTGATTTTTGTATTTTTAGTAGAGACAGGGTTTCACTATGTTAGCCAGACCAGTCTGGAACGCCTGAACTCGTAATCCGCCCCACCCGGGCCTCCCAAACTGCTGGGATTATAAGTGTGAACCACCACACCTGGCATACAAGTGTAATTTTGTAACTTCAGCCTCTGATTGGTTTTCCTCAACCAACCAGTCTGATTTTGGGGCACCACTTCATTTGCATGGGGTGTTCGCCAAGTGACCAATGGGAAACCTCTAGAGGGTATTTAAACCCCAGAAAATTCTGTAACCAGGCTCTTGAGCCCCTATGGTAGGACCCCTCTCCCACCCTGTGGAGTGTACTTTCATTTTTTAATGAATCTCTGCTTTTGTTGCTTCTTTCCTTGCTTTATTTGTGCATTTTGTCCAATTCTGTGTTCAAAACGCCAAAAACCTGAATACCCTCCACAGCTAACACTGTCACTGCATAAATGAGAATTTAACTTTAAAAACATGTTCTTCAATCACACATATTCTTGGAGCAAAAGGCCTGCAGGACTTTTTATCCCTTTAAAAAAAAAAGATTTTTATAAAAGAGCTTCAAGTCTTAACAATAGAGTTGGTAGAGAGAATAGTACTACACATATATGCACAAAGTGAGTTTTCTATCTCATTGAGCTGAACTTTATTTGGCTCCTAAAAATCTTATGAACATTCAGACAAAAAAAAAAAAGGCACTAAAGCATTTGCTCATATCTAGCAAATATAACATTTCTATGGCTCCATCTTTGATAGAGCTGATCCTCCAATGAAAAGGAAATAAATCAATACACATTTCCAGCTGCCTAATGTGAAGAAATAAAGTCACCTACTGAAGTCAATTCACCAGAGAAAAGGCAAATCATTGACTGCACTAGCAATAACCCCACTTCATTCCCTTCCAACCAGGATATGGTAATAAGAATCAGTCTCCCACAGGGCCCCTTCTGACAGAATTCATATGTCTATAATGAATTCTTTCCTCATTCTTTGTGTCTGTGCTGGATAAAAATATTGATATTACAATTCCTCTCTATGAGACTCCATTAACTTTATTGCTCCTTTACTTCTTTTTAATAACATATGTTTACTGAGTATTAAAATTTTAATTTGTGACCTTTTAGTCTAGGTTTAATATTAACCAAATAATACATAAAAGTTTTATATATAAATTAAGCATCACCATAATTTGCTAAGTGGGATGTAAGGAGAATAATGCTTTTCTAAGATTAAAGCAAGTAGGAAGCCAGATAGATACAAAGTTGGAAAAATATATATATAATCAGAAGAGAATGGAGATCTAATCTTCAATGTGAGGAGGTTTGCCCTGAAAACTTTTGTACGCTCTCTGCTGGTCCTAGAGCAGTAGGTGGGTATGGGCTGCTCATTTAGTTTTGTTAAAATTAAATGTATACAAGCCATTTATTTCATGAATGTGGAAAGCTGTCATAAAACATTTATATCATACCTCATCCATTTTATGAATTGTTCATTTAACTAATATATTTAAAAGCACTCAAACAATTCTCCATTAAAAAATGTACTTCATCTCCCCTGCCAAAATCAAGTTTTTAAGTCTTTGTTATACTGGATGAATACTATTATTGTCAACAGAATTATTTTCAGGTAAGACTTTGGGATATACATTGGGAGTCTCCCCTTGCAAAAATGTTTCATTTAAAACTAAATAAAGAGCTCCATATATTCAAGCTGTGGCTTCCATTTAAGGCTTGATAGAAGCTAATTAAATTGTTCTACTCTCAGCTGTGCCTCTTAGTAAACAGCTGCTTGCTTAATCAGTCATGCCAAATCAAGAACTAATCTAGAGATCTTTACAAATTTCCCCAGAAAACCAAGGCTTCTGGTAGAAAGCAACTGGCCCTGTTCATTCACTTTAGTGCATGAATCAGGCAAGAAAATGGTAAAAAGTGATAAAACCAAAAGATGTTCATTACTAACATATATTAAGGGCCTGCGAGAGTTTGGTGATTATTAAGTATAGGAACATACAGAAACAGTGGAAAGCCTAAGATCTACTTCATATACCTCTACATGTAACTAGTAGCTGGCAGAAGGCTGGGATACTAGTTGGCCTAGAGAGGAGCAGTTGAAACAGATAAGGGAAATACTGCTGCAACAATTTTCAAGAGTGTCTAGACATGAGCTCAAAAATATAATTAGTCCATCTTGATTCACAGGAATTGTGGACATCAAAGAAACTTTTCCAGAGACCTGTTGAATGAAATAATGTTTATACTTTTCACTCAAAATGGTTTACATAAACTTTAATTGATGTTGATTTCTTAGTAGGGAAAAACATGAAAAAGTCAGAAGTACAGTCATGCACTGCATAATGATGTTTCAGTTAATGACAGACCAGATACACAATGATGGTCCCATAAGATTAAAATGGAGCTGAAAATTCCTATCACCTAGAGACACTATAGCCATCATAACACCATAGCACAACACACTACTCATGTGTTTGTGGTGATGTTTGTGTAAATAAACCTACTGCAGTGACGGTCATATAAAAGTCTAGCACATACAATTATGTGCAGTACATAATAGTTGATTATGATAATAAACAACTATGTTACTGGCTTATGCATTTACTATACTATACTTTACATCATGATTTCACAGTGTATCCCTTCTATTTATTAAAAAAAAAAAATACACACACACAATTAACTGTAAAACAGCCCCAGGAAAGTCCTTCAGGAGGTATTCCAGAAGAAGGATTGTTCTCATAGGAGATGACAGCTCCATGTGTGTTATTGCCCCTGAAGACCTTGCAGTGAAATAAGATGTGGAGGTGAAAGACAGTGATATTGATGGTTCTGACCCTATGCAGACCTAGGCTAATGTGTGTGTTGAGTCTGTTTTTAACAAAAGTAAAAAAAAAAAAAATTTAATTTTAAAAATAGAAAGTTTGTAAAATAAAGATATAAAGAAAATCTTTTTCTTTAGCTGTACAACATGTTTGTTTTCAGACAAGTTTTATTAGAAGAATCAAAGGCCAGGTGCGGTGGCTCACCCCTGTAATCCCAGAACTTTGAAAGGCCAAGGCAGGCAGATCACCTGAGGTCAGGAGTTTGAGACCAGACTGGTCAATGTGGCGAAACCCTGTCTCTACTGAAAATACAAAAAATTAGCCAGGCATGGTGGTGCGTGCCTATAATCCCAACAACTGGAGAGGCTGAGGCAGAAGAATCGCTTGAACCTGGGAGGTAGAGGTTGGAATGAGCCACGATCACACCACTGCACTCCAGTCTAGGTTACAAGAGCGAAACTGTCTTAAAAAAAAAAAAAATCAAAAGTTTAAAAAGTTTATAAAATAAAAAACTAAGGCTAATTTATTGAATAAAATTTTTAAATAAATTTAGTGTAGCCTAAGTCTAAAGTGTTTATAAAGTCTTCAGCAGTGTTCAGTAATGTCCTAGCCCTCCACATTCACTGACCGCTCACTGATAACCCAGAGCAACTTCTAGTCCTGCAAGTTCCATTCACAGTAATTGCTCCACACAGGTGGTGTACAATTTTTATCTTTTTTTTTTCTTTTATTTGGACACAAGCTCTGTGTCATCCAGGCTGGGGTGCACTGGCACAATCATA